TTTTTGAGTTATGTAAAAAAAACTACAGGGGGGGGTCAAATTGCCCCCCCCCCCCAGCATATCCTGGTTTTCAAGTACCCCAGCAGGGATAGGGTTAACAACCCTATATATAATTCATACATGATCTGAAAAAGCGTTCAAGGGTATCGTTGTGAATGGGGCATTGCCATGTTTATTGGCATGGATGTCACTTGAAATTACGCATACAGTCCCTTTAAACCTCGAATCCCCCCTCTACGGCGCCGTTTCAACTAAGTCCTAATTGATTTCTGAGAACGCCAAGTATAAAAATTATACTTTTGAACAGTTGTTGAAACATTATTAATATTATTCCAGTTTGATTTTATGCATTAGATCGCTGTATTAGAATGGAGCACATTGCTTTAATTTACAAGCATATTGGGGCGTTACCATAGAATTCGATCCTAATCTACACACATACTTTTCTTGTCTGGGTGTCTGTTTGTTTGTTTGTGTCCAATAAACAATCGGTCCGGCCCGATTTTGTGAAACCTCACATGACCACAGAAAAAGTTTATGATGGTCAAAATCCACAAACAAGATCGTTAAATCCGCGAGATCGTTTTTTATTGTTTGATAATTTAAGAAGAGCAAATGCCGCAGATAGAGCATATCAATCAAAAGTTAAAAACGAAGATGGCGCGGCGCCCAAAATACAGGATCACTCTTAAAGGACGAGAGTTTGGATAATTTCTATTTTAAGTTTTTTTTCTAACTTTCATTAATCCCTTTAACTGTAAAATCAAATCGAATCAAAAGTACAGAGTACATTTTATAATGAATCTTCAAAGTTGACACAACGGTTCTTTGCAGTTCAAGGTCGCCATTAAAGACTTATCCTTTGTGGCCGTAACCCTGTTCTTATGTTCTTCAAAAATGTAAATGTAATTAAAAAGTATTGATTGATTGATTCGTTTAAGAAATGCAAATTTGAAATAATAAAAGAGTAAATAAAAATTTCTTTTTCATGAAAATTTGAATAATAATGATATCTTTTTAAGTGTTATAAATGAGTTAAAATGGCAAAATTAAAATTCTTAGCAGCTAAATCGATGTCACTTAATTATTGATAATTAAAGTCAGGTATAATATAGACAGATAGACAGATAGACAGATAGACAGATAGACAGATAGACAGATAGACAGATAGACAGATAGACAGATAGACAGATAGACAGATAAACAGATAAACAGATAGACAGATAGTCAGACAGACAGATAGACAGATAGGCAGATAGAGAGATAGGCAGATAGAGAGATAGACAGATAGAAAGATAGAAAGATAAATGTTAATTATCGGGAAAATCCGTATCACTGCATATTGTTCAGGCCACGTACTGCAGATAAAGAGAAAAAACACAAACTTAAAGGGACTTTCAGCGATATTTCAAGTGTTCCTCTATAAATAAAAAAATGGCGATGTCATATTTAGAAAGGTACCCATAAACCTTTATGTTATTAATAATATAAAAGAAATTGTCGTGTTTCTAGGATCAAAAGTGTTAAAATTGGATTGTTCTTATGTTTTTTCTTGCACAGTAGAATGCGCAAGTCGCTTTTGTATAAAAACCATAATTAGTAATGAATTTTAAACATTGATTACCAATTAATGCTTGATCAGACAAAGCTTTTAAGGATACCGTCGTGAATCTCTTGAATACGCCAACAGTCCCTTTAAAGCTTTGGTGAATTTAATGCTAGAAAAGAAGCACTAAGCAGTCAATCTAATTCTATTCAAGTAAAACAGAGAATTCAAGTTGCTTCTTCACCTTCACGATTCATGAGTATAGGGTTAAAACTTGAAATAATTAAAAAAAATGCTTTACCCTGACTGGCCATATGAGGTCTAAAGAAAATGTTGGGCTCAATCTTTTGGTTAAACTATTTCATTAATAACAATATGAAGTAACTTAAAAATTCCTGAAATGTCGTCTTCCTATTCCACATTTGTAAGGGAATCTTACACCTGTTCACCTTTTTGTTAATGTTCCTTCTATTCATTAATTGTAACTTTCTAGTTTGTGGGAACTATTTTCTAGTTGTTATGATAGATTACAGATCAGATCTATACTCATATTTCTCTGCTGCAAGATTATAGTTTGGTAATGTCGTCTTCATTAGTGTTTATACAGTGAGAACCAGAAAATTGTGGAATAGGAAGACGAGATTAAAGCAATACTTAAATGTTTTTTATGTTGTTACAAAGAAAATAGTTTTACTATAAACTTATTAATTCACTTATTAAGTGAAATTGAGTCTAAAAATCGTCTTGCTTTTATATTTATCACTATTTAAGGTCTAGTCATATCGTCGTTCTTAACAGATGTTATTCCTTGCATGTCTTCTGACGTGAAAACGTTTTTACAAAGTAAATAATTTATCATTGCAATCTTATGGATTAGACCTTTGCTTTTTCAAGCTATGACAAGGTTAGCCTCAGGTTAAAAAGATATAGGAATTAGAAATTAGAAATTCTAAAACCTGTTTTGTCAATTAAGGTCATGCAACATGGTTTATGTTAAAGAAATATCTTTAAAACATCTCTGTACATTTATATCTTTAAAGATGAAAAATGTCGTCTTATGCGCAATCAATCTTTATATATAAATATATTTTAAAAATATTTGACAAGACCCCTTTTCAAGGTTTCTGAACGGTCCCTTCGAGATGAAGTTTATTGACAGAAATGTTTACAAACATTGGAAAGCAAAAGCTGGGAAAGTTTTACGCATTTTTCACACACAGGTTTTAACATAAGACTGACAAAGTAAATACATTATACTTATTTTTCAGCAAATTGAATATTTTATAGAAAAGGTAGAACTGTGATGATACCAAATAAATATTTCTATTGAATTTAAAGAAATTGTAATTTTGTAAACCTCCTAAACAGTAAAAAAAAACCCAGAAATCTGCAAGTCATTTAAAAAGATTAAAAAACTCTAAAAATCAAAGTTCTGAGTAAAAACAAGCATCATTCATTTGTTCTTGATCACCCTATAAGCTTTGAGGGTATATGTCTAGGCGGACAAAACACTCTGTCCCTTTAGACAAATAATTTGTCTAAGCTCAAATTTGGATGCACATTTATTTTGCTTATCCTCACCCTTCTCAAACCTTTATTTTAATAGAGTTTGGATTTTATAGAAAATCGGCTCAAGGCCTTTAGCTTTAATCCGCGCAACTAATGTGTGCATAGTGCATAAAATCAAAACTATAGAGGCTACGAGGTCGAAAACTAATGTGTGCATAGTGCATACAAACCAAACTATAGAGGCTACGAGGTCGGAAAGCGTTACCAGTAAACTTGACCTTCTCCTTCTGTCTAGAACACATTAGGCGTGTGTTCTTTGTTAAAGTTGGTGTAGTACTGGTTTCAAGTGTTCCAGAACTCAATTCAAATAAATAATAAATACTAAGTGAAATATACGGCCTCGTCTATCTATCTATCCCTAATGCCAACTATCTATCTATCCAAGGAATTAATAGGTGATAAAAAGTTGAATAAAAAGGTGGAAACCAAATCAACACGAAGTGTTTTTTGCTAAACCCGTCTTGAATCTTGAAAAATACAGATTTTCTCATAATCAAGCTGAAAAAACTTCAAAAAATATTTTCGTTCATTTTCCTGCTTTTTATTAGTGGTTTCAAAATTTACAGGCAATTTGAACCATAGAGAATAGAATATATATTAGAGGGGAATTAAAAGATTCTCTCGGTATGAATTTTTTCAGTCCCTTTCAGCCTGAAAGGGAGTTCAAAGTGTACAAATCGTGTAAATGTTCACAAATTATATGCAGTAGAGTACATTAATACTGTATGTTCCCTAGACTATCCATTTCAATTTCGAATTTTTTAAACTGTTAAATAAACTTTATAATGAATTAGGTAAATATAAAACATCATTTGATTTATAGTTATAACGGAAAATCATCATTTGTGAAGTGGAAGGCATAGAGTCTATGTGAAATGATCATTGGTGAATTATGAAACCAGCCTATTTCATAATTTGGTTTTCTTTTAACAATAATATTAGATTTTCTATAAAATAATATTCCAGGGCCCAAAAGGTTATATAGCATAAATATGTGAAGTACACCTGCAGTATGGAAACAGTACAACAAAATGGCCGTCTTACACTTTTTCTAGTAAATTCCCCTCTAATATATATTCTATTCTCTATGCTTTAAGATAAATTTAACTGTACAAAAAAACTAACTGTTCAGGGTACTTACCTAAGGTAAAATATTTAGGTAAAATATTTACAACGAGAACGACATATTTAGTGTACATCATAAAAAAATAATTGAGTATCTTAGTGTTGCCCCAGTATTACTGTATAATTTTTCATCTAATTATTCCCATTTTTCTAACAATTGCTTTTAACAACACCATTTAAATCATAAACTGAACTAATCAAACTTAAGGTCGGATACTCCATGGCATTGGCAGTCAAAAAGTGAGATTCTTCAATGCTCAAAAAATGGTAGGATATCACGGGAAATAATCATTTGAAATATTATTTTGAGTATAAAACGATGAAAAATGATCAAAAATCATGCTTTTTTAGGTTCGTTTTGTCAATCATTGAGTGAAATATACAAGCTAAACAATACTGCAAGAGTGCAAAACATACCAGCCGTACTGCAGAATCTGACCCTGTGTTTTATTTCTTCAGGTTAGACCTTTAACTGGTGTTTTTGCACCATTGACAAAAAAGATTACGGAATTATTATATGAGTATTTGTATAAGAATACAAGGGCAAGGGAATCTGTTACCTAATTGTTACCTGGGAGAACCCTGAAAGGTTAGATTTTTTTACAATAAAATTTATCTGAAAACCTATATTTGACTAGTGTGAAGGGATCAGAATTTATATATCCAGTTCTTTAATAACGCTTTTCTCTCTCTCAACATTTATGAAAAAAGTTGCAAAAAATAGCTGAATTAGTTTTTCAGTTTAAAGGTAGGAAGTTTTAGTTTTAAAATGATCCATATTCGCTAAAAACAAAGCCTATAAGGGTGGGCTCCAAATACACTGACAACATTTGAAGAGTTTTAATGAAAAATAGATAAATAGATAGTTTAAATGTTATTATTTATCTACCACAAGGGATCTGTTTAAATTGCTGCAGATATTCTTAAATTCGTCCATATTTCAACTCCAGGTTTATACTACAGGTTTAATAGACTAGAATCCTACAGGAATATTAGAATGTAATGCTTAAAGAGACTGTAGGCGCCATTTTGAGTAACTTTCATTTTATGGAGAAGTATGTCTGATTCACAACAGCAGCACAAAAGCTAGAGGGTTGATTTAAATTTTCTGTATTCATACTATAGAACTAAAATGTATTGTTAATACAGATAGAATCAATATCTTTATTAAAGGGAGTGACCGGCAATGTATGGTAGTTGAACTGAGAATGTAGTATGTCATATGTACAAATAAATGATTATTGTCAAAGATATGTAAATAAGGATTATGGAAATAATTGCCCCTGTTCAAGAATCATGAACTGGGTAAACATGTTCTGTTGTATTCAGGAGGACTGGATCCTAGCTACCTCTCAGTGTGTATTGGCCTGAGTGTACACTTGGGATAGTTTACTGATAAAGGATATTAAGAGGTTATGGCCTAATGATACAGTACAAATATCAAATAAAAAATACGCTTTCGGAGTACAAGTGTATTGGGAGGTTATGTATCTTAAATTTTACTCAGTAAACTCAGAACCGTTTATTAACGATGAAATATTGCTCTGTAAAAAACTGTTATAGTATGTCTCCCTGTGAAAATGGAATCCTGCATACGATAAAGGAGAAGTGGATTTTAATAGTTACATGGAAAACAAATTCTTCATTCAAATATTTTCAGAAATCACCCCCGAGTACTGTAATATGCAGATTGACCTTTGGAAGTGAGGTACATGGTAAAGGATTAGCATGTACATCATCACTCTATATACTATAAGATCGTTTGTTGCATACAGAATCTAAAAATAGCCTGGGATCCTATCTGAAAAGTTCTGTGAGATGGAAAACCAAACATGATGCTATGATTGTTAGGCTTGGATTGAATGACTGAGATAAAGTGGAATCTATCGGAATCTATAATGTAACAGGGTTGGAGGAGTTAGTTCTGCACAAGATCTACGTTCAGCTCATTATTCGCCGTAGAGGCGAATATATTTAAATGTGTGTTCTCAATGACCATAAGTTTTCATCATGTTTTGAGAATGGACTTTTTAAAAACTATTAAAAAGCTATGACACAATGTAAAAAGAATTCTACAGTAAACTAATTAACTGCTTATGAAGAGGTTAAGAAAATAAAAATTCACTCTGATCCTTGAAAATAAGTAATCTTATTCAGTTATTAGTTTCTGTAATTTTCTGTAGATTTTTGTAATTTTTATTGAAAATTTGGATGATTTTGAATGTCGGCTGTGCACTCAAACTCAGTAATTATTTATAATTAAAACGTTTTATATGTCTCAAATGAATCCTTCAAAAATGTCTCCACAATACTTCATTCTCAGTTCAACTACCGTACATTGCCGGTCACTCCCTTCAATTTGTTCATGATAGGATGTTTATTTACGTCTTCAGAATACAAACTTATTTGCATTAAAAGAATTCCAAAACTTGAATAAGATTTGCTACGAGAATATTTAAATGCTCAAGCTTATAATATAAAAATAGAAGTTTTGAATATATCAGAAATGTCCAAAATCGTCAATATTGGTCCAAAACAAAGGCTCTGCCTACCTACAACTATGTTTTTTGGGACACCCTGTATATAAAAATATCCCTCCCCTCTTCCTGTGTAATTGGCAAGCTTACTTTATTATTGATTGCAATACTTACATTAATCTAAATTAAAGTCAAACAATAATTAACTCTTATGAAAAAACACGGAAGCTAATTTTAAAATTAACTATTTTTAGATTGAATCAAAAATAGCCTTCAACTTCAGCAGTAAAGAGCTTATATTTAGAATTATTTTGCAAATGATTTCTAAAATTGTTTATTTAATTTAATTTTCCTTTACTGCATTTTGTACATTTAAACTTATTTATCATGCAAATTGAGGTTAAACAGGATTAACAAGGAGAACCAGGAGAACCAGAAGAATCAGGAGAACCAGGAGAACCAGGAGAACCAGAAGAATCTGGAGAATCAGGAGAATCAGGAGAACCAGGAGAACCAGAAGAACCAGAAGAACCAGGAGAACCAGGAGAACCAGGAGAACCATAAGAACCATAAGAACCAGGAGAATCAGGAGAACCAGAAGAACCAGGAGAACCAGGAGAACCAGGAGAACCAGGAGAACCAGGAGAACCAGGAGAACCAGGAGAAATAAAATGACAATGTATTAATGCAGTTGAATATTTAAATATATCTTACTAGTTGTTTTGTAACAAAGTGAAAGAAGTGATTAGGGTTTGAGGGTTTGATGGAATAGTTTAGAATATTTGTAAATACTTCTACAAATATAAACCCAGTGTTTAAAGTGGAATTGACTATGGATTGATAAGTTATTTATTGAATTGATATTTCACTTAGAAAAACGTTTCACTGTTTGTTGTTTCTTTTGTCGGAGAGTATAGATAAATATAATATATGTAACTCAATTTGTGATTTAAAATGTCCATCTAACTTTAAACACAGCAGCTGTGCAATGTACACCGACCCATTTTGCTACATGTAAAATAGTTTACATCAAATACACATAAAGATTTGTAAATGTCGTCTTTATATTTCACAGTTTAATTGGTTACACTGTAGAGAGCAACCAGAAAACAAAAGAATGGTTGCAAAAAGAGAGTGTTTGTTGTTAGAGGTTAATCAATATATAAATGGCTTTATAATTAGGCTTTTGATTTATTTCTTTTAATTTCCCTGAAAACAAAATTGCGCAGTTGTCAAAGGAATGTAAACATTGCATTCATAGATAAATAAATAAACATAGATAGCTGATGTACGTAAAATCACCAAGAATTGTACAGTCCGCGAACTCATACTTCTAGGGGTCAAAGTGTAATTCAATGATAAGCGGGGTGGTTTGGTGTTTTAATGGATTTCATAGAATAAGGGTAAAATAACTCCGGGAATGGAACTATTTGAACAACAATATTTCACTGAAGAAGGACATGAGAAGGACTAAACTAACTTAAATTTCTCTCTACAGAACTCATGTACACCACAAGTACTCAATGACATAAGAACAGCCAATGTTTTCACAACCGACCTAGGAAATCTATATAATAGGAATATCTTTAAAACATCTCTGTACATTTATATCCTTCAAGATGAAATCTATCTTTATTTATGATTGCATTTTATTAAAACATCTAATAAAAAGTAATAGAGAGGTGGCTAAACTACCTACAACCAGTTCAAATCCCGAATCACCGACTTAAATCCTTTTTAATCTTTACTTTGAATAGCATTTAAACAGACAGACGTGATGTAGTTCAGCAACTCAGTTCAAATTCATTAAAGGTAGTGTTTGTGAAAAATGAAAATTTATTGATGGTGATGCCCAACTAATCTTACTTCAATCTGTTGCGTCTATAATGAAAAAATTGTTAAAAATTACTCATACCAAAGAACGTAGCATCCATAAAAATTCAGAAAGTTCAACATTCGACTCCCATGATCCCATCGTAAAGAAAACAATTTAATTCCAAACAAATCATTCAAATATTACAACATATAATCATCGATAATTTTTCGACGCATTCATATAGTTTTTCATATTCATAATATATTTCATAATATTTTTAACTTGTTTCATATACAATTTACTTTAACCCTATTCCTGCTGGGGGGGGGGTCAATTTGACCCCCCCCCCTGTAGTTTTTTTACATAACTCAAAAAGTATTGGTCTGAGGCTGTTGAAATTTTCTGACTTTTCTTACATACCCAAAGCCCTCCCTTTAGGCCTAAAACCGGGCTTTAATACTAACTGCCTGAGTCCTCAGGCACACTGCCTGAATGACTGCTTTTGCCTGTACCAAACTAAATCTTTGTTTTGACCCACTTTCACTTGTCAGATTTTGATAAAATTTAGCTTTTTGGAAAGCCTATGACAAAAGGAAACGGATTGCAAAGTTTTGCGAAAAAAAATTGCAAATTTTTTGCAAACAACCTGTCAAAGGAAATTTGCACATTTTTAGTTTTTCTTGATTAAAAATCAGGTTATTTAAAATTTTGCAAACATTTTTGCATATTTGAAATGGCATGGTCAAGGGCTTTTCAAAAATGTATAATTTTTCATTTTTTGGACAAATTTTTTTTTGCAAACATTTTTACTATAAAACTGGATTTTGCGATAAAAAATTCAATTTTTGCAAATTTGCAAATTTTTTTGCAGATTCTAAAAGTAGAGCACAAGAGCTTTCTAATGATGTATCATTTGTCATATTTGGACATAAAACATGGGATTTAGAGGGGGGGGTCAAATTGACCCCCCCCAGCGTATCCTGGTTTTCAAGTACCCCAGCAGGGATAGGGTTAAACGACAATTTTTTTGTTGCAGGTGTCTTTGGAGTCTCTTCCACGTAGAACTCCAGAAGCATCGAGAGCAGAGACACCTAGCGGAAAAATAAAAGCCCTTTAAAATCAAATAAGAAAAGTTAAAAAACTCATCGAAAACATTAACCAATTTTTGGACCGTTATTTTGGACCAAATTCTTTAATCTTAATATTTTTAAAAGTTTTTTTTAGATTTAGATTTAGTATAAAATTTCCAAGAAAATGTTTTATACGATAACATGAAAATTTTTCTAAATAATTGTTAGGTAGCCCTGTGATTTTTTTCGATATTATAATTGTCAAATGACAACCATATAGACGATTTAGAATTTTTTTTTAAGTGAAAACGCAGCTACCCCAGTCCTTTTTGGAAGTGATGAACAGACGGGTAGTGAAGGTTTAGCCTAGTGGAGTGCATGCACGCCGAAAATGTTTTTTTGTACCCCCTAAAAAACCGGTATTAAGAAAAACTACAGTTTAAAATTTATATGAAACTACCTGAAGACTGACTGTTAGTGATCTTACCATAATTACCAATCATTTTAAATGAAACCTCGCGACAGGGGCGGATATAAGGATTCTGTAGGGGGGGGGGGGGGAAAAATTTTTAATT